CATGTTCACTAAACTTTAGAAACATGTGCTCACCTTGTTTAACTTTAGAAACATGTTCACTAAACTTTAGAAACATGTTCATTAAACTTTAGAAACATGTGCTCACCTTGTTTAAACTTTAGAAACATGTGTTCACTAAACTTTAGAAACATGTGTTCACTAAACTTTAGAAACATGTGTTCACTAAACTTTAGAAACATGTGTTCACTAAACTTTAGAAACATGTGCTCACCTTGTTTAAACTTTAGAAACATGTGTTCACTGTGTAAAATAAAAATGTGACCACGTGGATCATTAATATCTCAGATAAACATGAGAAGAATCAAACTGAACTCCAGATGCTGAGAAAAAGTTGCTGTTGCACGTGCCAAATTATACCCGCCACAGTAGTGACGTCAGTGTGACGCAATACGCAGTGATTCGCAGGATTGTACCGGAAACGAACGACTGAAACTTCAAAATAAAAGGCCACGTGCGCGTACGACTGCGCACACGGGACACTGTCAGCTTTTCATTGGTTTTGAAAATTAATCCCGCACATTTTTCCTACCCCTGAAACTCCAGAAGTGTTTTGTGGACTCGAACTCTTCACCTCCATCAAAGATAACGAGCGAACTTTTCGGTGAACTCACCCTTCAAGAAATAAAACCGTGACTTTGGGGTTTTTACTGTGAAGTTTCCGCCCGGAAACGCGGTGTGTTACCGGGTCTAACTTGCCGCTCATGTCCCCGGGATATCTTCCGCTCTACCGGCGGCGCGTGTGGGGCTCTCTCCCCGGTTGTCCCGTCTCACTGACCGGTCACTTCTCCCACTGACTCCCCCTCTTCTGTCTCCCTCCGTCACTGCGGCTCCTCTGCCTCTCTGTCTGCGGCGAGACCTGCTCTTCATCCTCCCCGTTCGTTACCGCCTCCTTCTCATCCTCATCCTCCTCCTCCTCCTCTTCCTCCTCGCGGCGTGAGGTTCACGTGGAGATCGGAGATCGTCATAGCCACGGAGAAACCTCCCCCCCCCCCCCCCCCAGTCAGTTCCCGGTAAACTTCGCTCCGTTAGCATCGTTAGCTTCAACCCGAAACATGGCTACGCTGGTTCTGGAGGACGGCTCGACGTTCAGG